GCGGGCCACAAAAGTGACGGTCGAGCCTCCAAGCTTGAAGCTGCGACTGACCGCGACCGTCACTTTTGTGACCCACCGCGCGGCAAGGAGGAGATAGAAGGCGTAGCTCCCGAGAATCGGCCGAAATTGGCAAACCGTTTCGAGCCCTGGTTTAGGTAATCAAATAAAAGTTTTAACTACATTTTTTCGCAAAACGTCATTATATTTTTGGTACCTCCAATACAATTAAAATATGCTCAAAAACAAATTTTGATGATACAAAAGAGCGCGTAATAATATGTAAAAATGTGCAATTTATCGTTTCTTTTATGATTGATGATTATTCCGATGTTAACAAATGTATATTTTTAACGGTGGGTGTAAATGAATATTATGTGTATGTATATTATAATATTATATATAATATTACAAAATTGTGTATAATATTGTATATAATATTATAAGATATAATAAAATATTCGTTATCTTTAAAAAGAATTTTGCTCACACACGTTCTCTGTAGGAAAAGAAGAATAATTCTTTTATGATATGAATGAATAAATCTGAAACGCGAAACAGGCTTTTCCTAAAGTGTCTTGTGTAAAATTATTTTAATAGTAAAAAGAGAGGAAAGAAGCTCAAAACTAAAAATATATGAGATAAAACTATCTTTAAATCGATTAGCCAGTCGCGTATTTTAAACACCTTTAGGCGTACGAAACTTCGAGAGTAAACTCCACGATAGTTTGAACTTTACAGCCTTCATACGTTTTATTTAAAGAATATGGCATTTGTTTTATTAACACATTGAGTGTCACACTTTCATATTTGAATAGGGTGCGAGTTTCTGCAGAAACCTTATCACCAATTTACGGATGACGGTTATATTTATTCAATTAAAAATTATTTTACTAAGTGTTTTGTTTAATCAGATACTCATGCAATTGATAATATATCGAATAATTTGATTCTGTACATGACAACACATGATAGCTAGAAAATTCGAATTTGTAGAGCTATTCTGTAACTTTTAACACTGCCGTTAAAAGTTACAAAATAGGATCTATATGATCTTATTTTGTAACTTAATAAGATTCCAAATGCAGCGTGGCACTCAATATATTAATTGCAAACATGTGAACAGATTATATGATAGTGTACATGATCGCGCGATATTTTTCACAAATGAAGATAGTCTCAGAGGTATCTCAATCGGCATTAAACCATTCATACAATATTTATAATTGATTAAGACTAAGAATTATGTACAGAATCATCCTTGAATCGTTCTTGAAAATTATTAAGTAGACGGATAGATCCTCTTTGTACAAATATTGTCGAGTGGTTTTAGCTCTTCAAATTACTTAGAAACCTTAATGTAAGCTGGGCACGAGATTTAAGGGCTCTGGAACTTTGTCTGAGACTCGCTTGGCCGCGTTTCGCGATGCTAGCGCATATCTCGTCTTTCTCGTCTAATCCTGTGTACAACTCATATTTTTCAAATTCTGTTAAAACCGCATCTAAATCTCGGATTCTCTCCGATAGTAATGTAGCTACTTCCCTCCAAGTCTGCAATAAAATAAGTTGTTAAAACTTATCACGATATTTCATATATCAACTTTTAAATTATTTTGAATATATAATATGTATATACTTCTCTTTCTAAATTATATAAATGTGTATGTATGTATGTGTGTATATGTATGTATGTGTATATATGTGTGTATGTACGTATGAGTGTGTATGCATGTATGTATGTATAATATTTAATTTCATGTAAGTAAAGTGATCATCAAAATAATCATTTTGCATTTGTATTAACTTTTTAAGAAACAATACAGTAATTACCTTAGATTCACTAGTTTCATTTATCATGTCAGATTCGATTTTTTTGTTGCATTTTTTTTTATTCTTCTTTTGCGCAGTATGTGGTTTCGATTGTATTGTATATGTGCTACTGCATACAGCGCTAATGATCGCTAAAGATTCGCCGCAAGTTGCGGCTCTGAGTAAGAAATTTTTGAAGGATACCGGCCTGTCTTGTTCGGGAACAGGTAAAGTCTGCAAGCAAGGTGACGCCCGCAGCATTTGTATGCAATCCGAGTCTGGATAAGGCGAATGAGACAGTGATTTTGCAAGGCGCGCTATGGTCCTCAGCTGTTCGGAGTGATGAGCTTCTCGTAATCTTTCTACGGCATCCAGTGGAACCAAGATATTGCATGGTCTGTTGTTTTGTTTTCCGTCCGCATCGAACTTTTGTAGAATATGCGGAATATGTTCGTCGTCTAATTGTTTAAGCTCGGCGAATAATTGAGAGAACAGGATAGAAGAGTCTGGCTCAGCACTTGCTATCAAGATGCGCAACATGAGACTTCTTGCCCCGAGCAGTCTTAGCATGGATAAACGTGTCTCCTTTCGCATTCTTGGATCCCCCTCGCTCTGGTTAAATGGCTCCCACCCATAAACAACCTATTTAATCCCGTAATTTATGGAATTTATCATTTATCTGGTTGAATGTCGGCCTCACATTTCGTCGAATTATATCGCGACTCTCAAAAAAGTTTACCTCCAAATCACGATTGTCTCGCAGAGAATCCCATCTAACCGAATCTTTATTAGGTTGAATGTGCATACTATTCAAACTAGAAAAGAAAGAGGAAGTACTGTCGCACCAACACAAATCGAGCAGCATTTTATCTACAGTCGTCGTAGCGAAGTGAAACGAATTTTCTAGGCGTTCTCTCAAATCTACAAATTCCTGTATCTTTACAAAACTTCCGTATTTGTATGCAAACGTTAAGTGGTCCGCACTCTAAAACAAAAAAAAGCAATGCAGAAGTTAGACTCAAGTAGTTTAAATTTATTTTTGTGTTTAACCTTTTACAGTCCGAATTGTCAAATTTTTTTCTCAAGCGATTTGTATCTCAGCACAAAAAAATACCGAATTATATTTACTTCAATCTTTCATTATTCAACAAAATGTAGTAACATATTTACAAAAATGTATTTATATCAAGAAATATTTATTTAAGAAAAAAATATTTTTTAAGAATATGTAAAGAATATTTATATTAAGAAATATATATATATATATATATATATATATATATTTTTTTATATCAACTAGTAAATTTAAAAAATTTAGCTTTATAAAACCGACTTGAATTAAATAGATATAAAGACCGACTTTCTTTCTCTCTCTCTCTTTTTACATAGAACCGCAAAGATTTAATCTATTATACCTGAAAATACATACATCTTTATAGTTGGCTATGAAAAATTTCGCTGTATGATCAAGAGTCGTCGAGGCCAACGATAAGTCACCGAGAGGTGCGAGTAGAGGTACATGAAGATGACCCAGTGAGTCTAGTTGCAGGTGCTTAACGTCGAGTAGTGTAAACGCACGATCGGCCGCAACCACTAAACCGACCTCCAAGTATATCCGCACGAGCAGAATTTTTACGTGAAAATTTGCAGGACTCGATAGGAGACTACGTTCCAACAACGACATTGCCCTGCAAATCCACCACTGTAAAAACTGTATATACTTTCAGGGTATTACCAACGATCATTACCTATAAAGGAAAGACGCGTCATTAGTGTCAACCCATAATTGATGCAGCAGATGCGAAGCTAATAAAATGTACGAATCCGCCGGACAGAAATTGGTCGGCAATCGTTCTTGCACCGGACAGAGTTCGTTGCCCTTTTCGTACAAATCGCACAGTCGCTTTATCAGTTTTTCCTGTTTATTTCTGTCTGCTAAAGGAGGATGGTGGAAACCGCAAATACGTCGCAACTGTTCTAAGTGGATATACTTTTGCAACTGTTGTACGGTAGTTGGAAACTCGTCTGGCGCGACACTAATGTCTTTTTCGATCTACAATATCGCAAATATATATCATACAAATGTTTGATGTAACAAGCCATATAAAAAAGATGAGGATGTTAATGCAATTGTATGCACTTTAAGAATGTTTATCCAAGTTTTATCCTGTTTTTCTTACCCTTTCGAGTAACTCCGCTTTGCTCTTAGGTGTGAGTATACTTAAATATAATCGCAAGTCACTAACTACACAGCCTTTTTCTCCAAATTGTGAAAAATATTGATGCATAAGATCCACAGATTGCAAGCTGTACTGTGCATCTTTGTCAGTACAGGTACGTTTCAGTAATTCCAAGCGTGCCAAGTAAGGCGCGCGAATTTTGTTTTCGGACATATTAATAATATTGTTAAGGAAATCCAAGCATTCTGTCGGTTGTGAAAAGTTTAAGGCCATCGAAAGGTAATTTTGATAAAACGCCCAATTATCAGTGCTGTATAATAAATATATAATTGTAATTGCGCGTAACATCGAGTCTTCCTTCCTTGTAAATATTAAGAGAATATTGATTATGGACTCTTACTTTTTTCTAATAAGTTCTTGATATGCTTCAGCAGCTTCAGGGAAACGTTCTAATTTCTTAAAAGTGTCGCCTTTCGTTGTGGCACGTATGAAAGATGCGAAGCTAAAGGACTAGACAATACGTTTAATATCTCTTCATTTTTGTCTTGCAGCTCTAAAATCATTAAGTAAAGCTGCACCTCTTGTTCAGCTTCCATTTTGCCTTCCTTTACTAACTTTAGGACCTGATGTACTCACAGAAATTATTTCATTAGTTATTTTCGCGATATCTTAATACATTACTAGTAAATTTTGATTCTATAAACATGTGCAATTACACATAATAGTAATTAGTGTAATGAGGGATAGTAAGAATTTTATACATAAAATTATATATAATTATATGTATATATAAGTTACACATAATTACAGATAAAGATTAATGTACAAACCATTCTCTCTGCCAAAGGCAACGTAACCCCTTTTGCCAGCTTCTCATCTGAATGAGTAGCCTGCATCACTATACTCATAACAGCCCAGAAGTAATACGGATTCTTAGGTTTTACTTTATACAAGGCTATGGCAGTTTGTTGCTGTTTCTTATAATCACCAAGGCGAACATACGACATGAAAAGATGCGTCAGAAGCTCCTCATTATGTGGATCAGCTTTTGCAGCAGCTTCATAAACTTCGCTAATTTTGTCGGCTGTACATAAACAAATTCAACAAAGTAGGCATAGCACACACAATCACAATGTAACTTGAAATATGTCAATCATCATAGATTTCAAAATTACGTCTATGTGGGTTGTTTTCATATTGTTTATCTAATATATATCAGCCTTTTGTCATATAGATAATGTAAACTATGTAGAATATTGTATAACAAAAATATACAAAAAGAATAATTAAACTATGAGAATATTGTATAACAAAAATATACAAAAAGAATAACTAAACTATGAGACAGAGTTACACATTGTACCCATTTTGTATATTAATAATAAATGTAATGTAAACTATGTAGAATATTGTATGATAAAAAATATACAAAAAGAATAATTAAACTGTGAGATAGAGTTATATATATA